GGAGGAGACGGACCTGCCCCGGGCTGCCGGGCCGTGCGAGCCGGTCATGCCATACTGGATCTCCTCCGTGCGGTGGGCGGGGCTGGAGTGACCCACGCCCCCGGGGTCAGCCCCGCGCCCCTCCTGCCACCCCAGCGCCACAGACAAGGAGCCGGCCGGGCTGGTGACACCTGAGCGGTTGTCCAAGGGGGAGGACGGGCCCGAGGAGCCGGAACGGCTGGTCCAGTTGTCCAGCTGGTTCTGGCCCATCGGCGGCTGGGCCCCGGGATTCTGGTAGGTCTTGCGCGGGTAGCAGATGGGCGGCGGATCAGGCAGATTCTGGGCTCCTCCGGTGTAGGGCTCGTTCCCTCTCAGGTAGGCATCCTGGGAGTATGCCTGGCAACGAGAAAGAGGTTTTGGAGTGAGAGAAAGGGAGAGAGGGTGCAAGAGGCCGGGAGGGAGGGGATGACAATAAGGATCAGGGAAAGAAGGAGTGAAAGACTATTTTCCACCACAGTACTCGTCAGAGCTAGGAAGTCAGACCAAATTGCCCCCGTTTTTGCAAATCTCCACTGGCTCCCCATCCACCAGAGAGTGGATTTGAAAGCACTGCTCCTGGCCTTCTCGGCTCTAAAAGGCAAAGGTCCTGCCTACCTCACCTGACATTCTTCTTCAAACTGCGCCCCGGCCTTTCAGATCAGCTCAGCTGAATCTTCCTCAGGTGCCCAGAACCTAGCTGCTTGCCGTGGGTGACCGTGCTTCTGTGTCTCTGCTCCTCACTTGAGGTATAGCCTCTCCGATCATTTCAGACAACCAGATTCAACTGAGACCTTTAAACCCTTTTTCTTCCAGCAAGCCTATCAACTTCCACCACTATAATTAAATGTCCAAACCCTTTCCTTATTCTTTATCGGCAAGTTCCTTGACTTCTCTTCTTCAGCCTTTTCTTTTATTTGAAGCACACTGAGATTCACCGTGATAAAGTGGTCTATACAAATCAAATGGAATAAGAATAACATTATTATTACTATTAATAATAACTCCTGACACTATTCCCCCAGCAGTGTGGGGGGTCTCCAGCAGGGCCCTGCTTCTCAAGCACAAAGGAGACCAAGGGAACCTGCTGGACTGTTGTCCCACAAGGTGCAGAGGGACTGGAAACCAGAAGGACTGGGACTCTGCAGATTTATTAGCCCTGAGCACCTCAATGGCTCTGCTGGCCCACAGGGCTCCCAACAGCCAGTGTCTCCTTCAGCACAGGTGAAGCCATTCCAGCCCCTCACCCCTGGCCGCTGTGCGACCAGGCCTGCTGCAGAATTCCACCGAATGCGCCCACAGCAACACCCTGAACCGAACATGAGCAGGAAAACCACTCCCATTAACAAGCACTGCTACTGCTCCTACCCACAATAAAAACAGCAGAAACAGACGGGGAAAACAGAGAGAGACCAACGGCAGACAAAGCAACAGACTCAGCAGGACAGTCTTCTGGGGATGCTTAAGGCAAACTAATTCACTCACAAATAAAGAAATAAAGAGATAAATGACACACCAGTGACGCCCAGAAACATCCAGTACAAAGCACAGCTGCTAACATCGTGCTCCGGGAGAGCACTGTTGAGTTTACCTTGGTTCCCCTTGAGAAAGAGGTGTACAGTCAGTGTTCCTCGAGGAGAACAAACAAAGGTAATGGCTGAGATAATAATCCCAAAGGTATAGGTCCCTGCTGGCACCGGCCATAAGCTCTCAATGCTCCACACCGCCTCGCACTGCCTCTCTCTCACACTCACATACACACCAGCCCTCTCTGGCTCTGCTGAGGATGACGTCAGCCCAGCTCCCTCGGGGGGTGCCCCGCCCCCTGGCAGGCAGGGAGGGGAGGGAGCTGTGCACGGGTGATGTCAGCCAGAGACTGTGACTGATGCAGCCTGTGAGGAGGGGAGGGTGACTGGTAGGGAGGCGGGTCTCAGGGCTGGCCTGTGATTTAGAAGCGCCCACGAGGTGGGATTAGGAATCTGTGCCAGATCTGTACCCTTGCATACCTGTTTAGACGTACCGAATGGCTGCACTTACAGTAACCTAAAGGTTTTAAAGCGCGCCTGCGTTTTTTCTGTGTGCAAACTGTTGGCCAGGGCACTAGCCTGTGCAAGTGCCCGTGACCTCTGTGTGTCTTATTCGTACCTCCTGAAGTGTGCAAACCCTCAGCTGGGACAAGGCGCTGGGGTTTTTCATGTTTTCGTGTTTGTGTGCTTATTAGTGCCTTTGTGCAATGGAGTGTGTGCCAGGATGTGTGCCTGTGTGGGGAACTGGGCGTCAGGAGCTGCTTCTGCAGATTTATGGGAAGAGCAGGTAGGCTGTAGGAAGGCAGAAAGGTTGTACTCACACTTACCAGCTGTAAGACATCTTCATCTTTTGGCATGATGGAAAGCTCAAGCACACTCTCACTGCAAAAAAGGGAAGGGTAAATTAGCAAGGATGTTCAGCTAAATGATGAGAACGGAATTGGGGCATCTCTGACCATCTGCAACATCCTGCTGTTTGACTCCTTATTTACTGCAAGACCTGTTACGGGTAGCTGCTCCCCCACCAGGGGTCTTTTGTCAACATCGGTAAGCGCTGTGAAAAGAGGCGTCAGTTTTCACAGATGTGTGAGAAGGTGTGGAATGAGGAAGCTCAGCAAAGCAAAGACACACAAGCGGACGTAAAGTATACTTCATAAATGGGACTGTGTAGCGGCTACAATTCGCCCCCAATCTACCCTGTACACTCCCCCCCCAGCCTGCTAAGAGCAGCAGATTTATTCTGGTACACAAACGAAGCAATCCAAGTTTTACACTGGTGGATCATCGGGCATACACTGTAATACATCATGTCATTTACACTGTAAACCGTGAGCAGAGGGGTTTTCCCCAAAGCAGTTTAGGTGGAATCTCTTTAAACTGGTATTCAAAAACACATTGTTTCAATGAATACGAGGATCAGAGAGGTACAGTACAACCAAGGCCCGCTTCAGGAAGGAAGAATGCCTGATTTGCATGCCTGATTTGTCCTCAGCATAATTCAAGGCATCCAGTCTGTGAGAGAAGTTCTCCTTCATCCACCAACATACAAGTCCACAGAAACCAGGAAATTGGCTCTGTGTGGGGACAGACCATGTCTTGGAAGGCAGTGTCACCACAGTGGCCCGAGGCAGTCATACCATCAGCACAATTATTTTCAGGCTGTAGTAGCTACTGCAGAAGAAATTCCAGGAACGCCTGTCTGGCTTAGATCGAGGGCAACTGCTCAGCGATACATTGACAACGCCCTTCTGCCAACTACTTTTCCATTCCTGACAGCCAGCTAGGAGGTGTCCATGTTGTAGCAGGACAATGCAAGATCACTCCATGCCGGGGTTACAATGGCATTACTTCAAGTGAACAGTGTCAAAGTACTGCCGCAGTCAGCTTTTTCTCCTGACCTGTGTCCAGCAGAGCATCTGTGGGATCAAGTCGCCAACAGGAGACAACCACAGCTGTCCAAACTTTGCCAGCTGGCTGCAGCTGCGCAGGAAGTGTGGTGGAGCATCCCTCTGTGGTCTTCCTAGAGGCTGGTCTGCGCAGAACTACGCATCAACACTGCCAGGATTGCGCAATAAACACCCTGAGAGGTCACACTCGGTACTCACTGTGAGTTTATCATTTTAAAATTTAATTATTATTATATTTGATTATTCTAACCTCCATTTTCTGACCGCGCTTTTGTTTATTTTTTATTGAATGACCGCATAGAATTAGGAAAGAGAGGACCATGTGCTACACATAATGCACTTCAGCCATCTTTCCTAGGAATAACACTACCCCATTAAAACACATCTGGTTCGGCAGGTATTTGCGTGACAGTCCAAGATAACCCTGTAGTCCTGAATCTACTGAGGTGCTGCCTTTAGACTGCAAAACTCAGTTGCATTTGTGTTGCCAGTGATAAGGTGGAGTTCTGAAGGGGAATTTAAAGGAATGCTGTAAGCTCAGAATAAGCAGACTCCCACCTAATAAAAACAAACAGCATCATGCATGTACAGCTCTTCACATGATAAGCACAGACATACCCGTGTCGGTATTTGACTTCAACACTAATGACTAAGCACACTCGTCTGGAACGATGACCTGGTTTGCACTCAACTGTAAACTTAAAGCAGTGCATTACTCAGTTCTTGCTAAAGAGCACAGGGAAGGAAACCAAACTTTGTTTGACAGAGCTTAATCAGAAACAGAAACACGACGGCACACATCCCAGTTTATTTAACTAATTTCGGTTTTTGGGTTGAAAAATGCTCCACGTTACACTAGCAGGTGTTTGGATCATTGTCTGCACAGAACGGAAAAAGCAAAAAATAAATAGGTAATAGTTCAACCTGATGGACTGGACGACAGACGGACGGAAGGGGAGTGAAAAGAGAAGGAATCAGAAAAGAACAGAGAGGGAAAGAAAGAAGGCAGGGTAGAGAGATAAGAGGGCTTTGATCAGCTTTCAGAGGAGGCACAGAACTCACCTGTTCTGGATCAGCGCGATCACCTGGGAGTAGGTCTTCCCCAAAATACTCTCCCCATTCACCTTCACTAGCCGGTCCCCTGCAAAACACACAGTCCCCGGTTTGCAGCACAGGTACTGGATATCAGGACACAATGGGACTCCAGCTTGCACTCCTGTCGCGTTTTAATAATAATAATAATAATAATAAT